ACCACTTACCATCAGGTGGACTGTGTGCTCGTTTGTCACCCTTATCATATACTAAAATTTAATTCATATTAAAATATGAATTAAATTTTAAACTATTACATCAACTAATCTCATGATCATCCTCGCAAACCGTAATAATTTCGTTTCCCAAGGTTCCGCTTTTTTGGACATTTAATTTCATACCGGCGTTTAACTCAAAAGTCCGTTCGTTAATTATTTGGCCGATTTGATGACCATCGGGCTGCGATAAATGTAATTATCCTTCCATCCATCCATCCATTACGGCCTATGAATGTCCGTCGCTGTATAGGCCTCCGTTCGGTAAAGTCTTTTTAATTTCTACCGTGCATTTAATATTAGATATAGATAACCCTACTGTGGCGCAATGTATCACTCTAAATCTAAACTCACTTCGGACCTTTTAAGAGTTTAAATATAAAATTTACTAATAACTCGACAATTTCGCCACCTTTCGGATACTAATATAGCTATGAACCATTCTCTTAATAATACAAATATTAATGTTACAAAGTTACAAGATCCCAATTGATGCAACAACGACTGAAGTTTATTTTTTTAAGTTGCCAGCCCTAGATATACAACATGTATTTAATAATACAGATTTTAAGCCTAGTCACGTTACCAACGTTTATCTATATAGTATGGCGCGATTTTTTATACGTCAGCATATTGATAACAGTACATTCATGCTAAAATAAACACTAACTCCTAAGAATAGGCACGATATTTACGTAAACTACAAAACAACTTGATCCTGTTGATGATTTGCATTATGTACTACATATTTCCTTGTTTAAAGAAGTAGTATGTTTATGAGCTTATGATAAAAAGAATGTGCCAACTGTGATACTTGCCTATAACAATTATTTTTATAGGATAAGAGTGACAAGCGAGCACACAGTCCACCTGATGGTAAGTGGTTGTTGTGGCCCATAGACATCTACATCTACCCTCGTTGTCGTCCGTGAGGGCTAAGATGGAATGCCTCTTTTCCAGTAAAATGGGTCTCCGGTTCTCTACACTCACCATACGAAACACAGCAACATTAGGCTGCTCTTTTACGATGGTATTCTGTGAGATTTCTATGGTATTTTACGCTGATTTCCTTCCATTGTCATATTTTTTCGGCTAAACGTGGTGCCAGTACCTCGTCGAAGAAAAACCACATACACGGTATATCTAAATAGTATTTTATTGTTTTTCAAAGTATTCTCCGTTCAACTTAATGCACTCTTCCATTCGTGCAAGCCAATCATTAAAACAGTAATTCCAGTCAGAAGTTGATGTTGACAAAATGGCTGGTAAGTACGTTTCCACAGCTGCTTCGGGGTCTTCAAACCGTTGACCGCGTAATAAATCTTTCATTCTAGGGAATGTAAAGAAATCGTTTGGGCTCAGGTCAGCTCAACGTTTACCTGCTTCAAAAAATCATTTGTCTTCCGAACCGTATGGGAGCTCGCATTATCGTGATGTAAGATGAAGGCACGCTTCGGGTTATTTTTTCGGAGTTCGGTTATCATTTCTGGCAAAAAAACCGTGATATACCACTCAGCGGTAACCGTTCTGCGTTCCTGTAAAGGAATTGTAGCAACATGCCCCTTTTTCGAGACAAACGTAGCGACCATTTTCTTTGACACGCTGCGGGAGCGAACCACTTTCGTTGGTTTGACCTCGTCTTCGAAGACCCAAATTGCTGACTGATGTTTTCTTTCAGGTTCGTATGAATAAATCCATGATTCGTCAACTGAGACGATATTATAAACGGCATTTGACTTCCCTCCGTTGAAGCGTTGCAGAGTATTCCGGCACCAATCTACACGAGCCGCATTGTGCTCTTCTGACAAATTGTGGGGAACTCAGCGGGAAACTAGCTTTCTTACACACAGCTCATTATGTAATATCGACTGAATTACAGTCATTCCGATACTGATAACAGCCCGAATCTGCTCGTATGTCACATGACGGTCATCTAATATAATAGTTCGCACAGCTGCGATGTTTTCAGGCGTGACCGCTGTTCTTGGTCGACCTGCAGAAGAAACAGTGCTGAACGACACACGACCGCGTCGGAACTCGGCATACCAGCGGTATATTGTCGTTTGACTCGGTGATTCAACATCATAAATTGAAACAAGTTCGCTGAGACATTTGAGACAAGCCGCGACGAATATTTTGATAAATTATGGCACGGAAATGTTCACGCGTGAGCTCCATTTACATTAACGACGTGTCAACTTTAAACCAACATAGTTTTTGTTTTTAAACTTTTTTTTAATTCTAGTATTCAAATTCTAAAAAAGGTTTTATTGTAACTCCGATTCTTCCGACTTCCGATTCCCGATCATTTCAGTGTGTCCCTCGTAGATGGAGTGACGACCTGCGGTTGGTTAAACTTAGGTACTTAAAGGTAACAGCCTATATACGTCCCACTCTTGGGCCGAGGCGTCCTCTAATTTCTGGGGATTTTTAGGGCAAGGAGTGCCCACCACGCTACCCCAACGCGGCATTGGCGGCTCTCGCATGTCTTTGAAAATTTTTTTTAATTTCTTAAACAGGACACATGGTAAACCAGCATTTAAATTTGCTTTTATTAGCTTTGCTCACGTAACAAACAGTTACAGCTTGTGTATACATAGGCTGCACTAAAAGTATCGGGAATGGAATATTTCCACTGTTCCTGTCATATTAAAATCGTTTTAATTGAAAAGTCCTTGGTTTTAAAAATCTAATACCATTTATTTATTTAAAAAAAATTCTCGGTCTTGTCACAAGGTTTTGTCAAACTTGTTTAGTCGTTGAGAAAATGGAATTGACTCGAGAAAATTCAAAAGCGATGATTTATTACGGCTTTCGAAGTGGTTTAACACAAAAACAGTGTGTTGACCGGATGATTTCTGCATTTGGTGATGAAGCTCCATCCAAAACCACAATTTATCGCTGGTTTGCTGAATTTCAACGTGGACGTGTCAAGCTCAGTGATGATCCCCGTCAAGGTCGTCCAAAAACTGCAGACACAAGAAAACGTTGATGCTGTGCGTAAGCTGATTGAGGAAGATCGACATGTGACATAACGCGAAATTCAGGCAACTTTAGACATTGGCATGAGTCAAATACAAATAATCTTGCATGAACAATTAGGTGTAAAAAAGTTGTTTTCCCGATGGATACCGCATTCGCTCTGAGAAGAGCAAAAAGCGGCTAGCGTTACTTGGTGCGTCAGAACTCTCGAAAGATTCCACGCAGGATCCTTAAATGCTGTATACAACATCGTATCAGGTGACGAATCCTGGATATACGCGTGAGAACCCGAAACAAAAAACCAGTCACGAGTTTGGGTGTTCGAAAATGAGTTAAAGCCAACAAAAATTGTTCGTTCACGGAGTGTTGCAAAAAAAATGGTGGCCACGTTTTGTCTCCAAAACCGGCCATGTTACGACTATTCCTGTTGAGGGACAAAGAACGGTTGAATGGTATGCTGGTATGGTATGCTGAATGTTGACAAAGAACGGTTGAATGGTATGCAGAATGGTATGCTAGCATTTGTTTGTGTAGTGCCCTCGTAGTGTGTACTATTAAATTAAAAGTCGAATGTAACATTAATTTTTTATTCAATTTTGGAAGCCTTTATCGTCATTGTCATCATTACAGCCCATCACAAGTCCACTGCTGAACATAGGCCTCCCCCCAAGGAATGCCACAAAACACGGTCCTGAGCTACCTGCATCCATCGACTTCCTGCATGTCTTACCAGGTCGTTACTCCATCTAGTGGGGGGTCAGCCTACACTTCGCCTTTTTCCTTATCGGTTGTCGGTTCTTCGAGCTACATGGCCGGCCCATTGCCACTTCAGCTTAATCCGTTGGGCTATGTCAGTCACAGTGCGAGGTGCACAGTTAATTCTCACAGGTTGTACTCTCTTCTTCTTGTTTTAAATTATGGCTTCTCTTGATAGAATTCTGGTAGTGTCAAGTTAGTGTTGTACAATCTGAGAAGTGACAGTGTGCAATGTCATGACATGCAATGCTTAAACTAAGTCTGAAGGATATAGTGAGTGTGAATAATTACAGGCTGTGATGCATTCAATTTTTGTCCTCAGAGGTGACAACTATTTGTTTGAAGATGCCTGGTGTCCATGGACTGCAGTAACCACTAACTATTAGAGGTTTTGTAATTTCATTTTTCATTTAAATTTTAGTAACAAAAAATTATGCTGGAAGATGTCAGTAAATACATCAATGAATTTAGAGGTGATGAACATTAGTGCCTGCAATTTGGATAGATTACTGCATAAGGGGAATAATTGTCATCATTTAATTAATTGATGGCAACCACAGTTTACTTAATGCCCAGTTGTTATTAGGAAGACGCTGCCCATCTCCTAGTTGGAAAACAAACTGTAGCCTTTTACAACACCCATAAGATGATATCACTTATAATTAGTTCCCAATATCCAACAAGTGAGAATAGGTCCTGCTAACTTTGATTTGTTAAATAATTCAGTTTTATTTACCTTCAACAGATTTTTAATGACAAGCAAATAATGTTCTTTATTTAAAAACCATTTAATTATTTGAGTGATACTGAAACATACTTATCATATAAAATGAACATTTTTTTTAATGGTGTATAATAGGTTGCATAATATTGATCTATAATCAAATGTAGCGGTTGTGATATAAGAACCAGAATAAAAGCCTAAACCTATATGAAGAGTCCAATAAGTACTAACTTGCTGAATACTAACCGATTCATGATTGAGTGACAGTCCAAAAAATATATATTATTAAAGACATCATCATGCAGTAATAAATTTCTTTGCCTTCATAAAAGCTTTTCTCTTTGACTTAAAACCTAAAAAAATACTTTTTTGACCTTACACAAACCATATCTACCAGTGGAACCTTTTTTGAACCTAATCGAAGAACTAGACCGAAATTAGGAACCACTTTTCATAACAAGAATTGTTTTTAATAACTTACCTCTACAACTTTGTTCCAAAATGGGTGCATAACATAGACACTGAGGGGACTTGTGTCCTTTGCCATATACTGAAAACAAAAAGTTATTATAAAAACCTCATATTCATATCATAATACATATATACATTTTTGTATTTCATCAGCATTAACATTTTTTTCAATAGTGTTGGTAATTCTGTAACATATTTTAAAATATATAATCATATTTTAAATTATAGTGTATTTCATTTTTTTAAATTATGAATTGTTTATGTATTGGTCACCAAGTGTTAGTTGCCAATTTTTTTTAAATGCTGGCTACATAATATAAGTAATATATTGTAAATTGTAAAGAAAATTGTTTTTGAATCAAATCTCAAAAGTGGTAGTTACTTTCTAAGTTGATTAAAGATAAATGTTTTAGGTTATATTACTGCATAGTATGAAAATTGAATGTGAAGAAAATCTTTCTTCATACCTGTACTGATGTAATATAAATGGGAAAACAAATTAGTTACCTTGTAATTATCAAATCCCTCTAAATGCTCATTGCTGAGATATTTGTAATTAAACATTTTGCAAATATGTTAAAATATGTAAAAACTATAAAACTTTACTCTATATTGCAAACAATTAAATATTTATGTCATAAAACACATTTTTGGTAATTGAAATATATGATTTTAAGCAATAAAATAATGTTTTCACTTTCCGATAAATAGATAAATTCCTAAAGAAAGTCAAAAGTCAAAACAATACAAAACAACATTTGAGCACTGCCATTGCCATGTGAGCACCACAGAACACTAATACCCGTAGTGATTATATTCTCTTTGCTAATACCCTTAGGCGGGGCGGGGTGAGCACTGCGTAATGCGTATATAAAAAAAGTACTCTGTGGCAGTGTTGCCAACAACTTGGAACCTGATATCGCCATTTTTCACACATTTAGTAGCCTAATATAGCCTAATTTGAGCTGAGGTAGCCTAAAGTAGCCCAAACATCAAAACAGCGCTATGAATAAATAAAAACTTAATTTTTAATAATTTGTTTATTCATAAGATGTACATAGTGTATCAAATTTTAAAAAATTAGCAATCATCATTTGCTGCCACCAGCAACAAAGCATCAGCAAGCCTTTCGCGGTCAAAATTTTCTATAGCCTCTGCTGTGCATGTGCTGGCGCAAGCTTCGCTGGAACTGGAAACATACATTTTTCTTTCAGCATGTAAACTGATCATATGGTTGCTCGGTTGAAAATTGTTGCAGCAAATATTTCGGACATTTATATGTGTACGGATTTTGAGAATTGCAATCAGCATGGGTAGTTACATTCTGTTCCTTAATTTTGTCTTTATCGTGCCCATTACGCTAAAAAATCTTTCTACAATAGCATTACTTAAAGGTGATGAGAGACATCGCAATGAAAACTCGACAAATTCTTTAAACATGGGATTCCCTCCAGCATTCTGTATTTTCAATATCTGTTCCCAAAAATTTACGATATCGTTGAGAGAAGCTGTACCGATTACTTCGATACGCAACGTACTTAAAGAACGTCATTGGTTCATTATAGTTTCCCGGTCAATATTAGGTTTCCCTAATTGCCAGGGAAAATCATCAACGTTGGGTCTGCTGTTTGAGAGGCACACATGGCTTGGTGGTAAATGTTAAATTTTTTCCACCACTGACACATTAAGTGGTAGCCTGTCAACTAATTCCTTCACTAAGCGCACGAGAACATGCACGCACAGGACTCTTGGAGAAATTTCGCAAATAACAGACAAATGAAATTTATAGCCGGTAATAATACTTTTAATAACAAATGTTATTAACAGCGAAGGGAATACTTACAATCTTATTGCATTCTAAATTTGGTTGTTTAATACGTGCAACAGGCTAAGTTAGAAGCCCTACTCCCTAACGCCTTGTCCGTGTATTTGGATCTACCCGTCTCTCTCGCGCACTTCTGCAGATGAGTGAGAGTGATAGTGATACTTAGTTTTGGAGTATTTCCTGAAATTAACAGTGCTGCCAGTTTTTTTTAATTTTGATTTGCACGTTTTGCGTAGGATTATTTTACTTTTGACGGTCGATCGTTCGTCTCTCTAGTAGCCTATTTGGCGACCAGTCGCCTTTCAGAATTTTTCGTAGCCGATTTCCATCCCGAGTAGCCTAATTGGCGGAAAATCGCACAACATTGCTCTGTGGCACTGCGTTTGCACCACAGAACATATATATTCCTAAAGGGGTTTGCACTGCGTTCTAGCGATTAGCGTTGAATGAACGAACTAGTTGAATCAACCGTTGATCTCCTGTCAACGTATTAACGTTTACCGTTTATGAATCAACTAGTTGAATGAGGGCATCCACGACTTTTTCTGCCACCAGGGCGGCGCAACTTTACAGTGAGGTAAAATATTTGACAAAATTCATAGCGGGGATGATAATTTCTTAGGAAAATGTAATCTTTAAGGTTTTTTTCTGTATTATTAGTAATATTTTATATTAATTATATTAGAAATGAATAAACCAAACTATAAAATATAACTAAAAGCAGACTTTTTTAAAAAAAGTTATAAAGTGCAAAAATTAAAAATCAAACCACTGACGCATTGTGTTGTGTATTAATATAATATTCTTGATAATGATAAACTATTATTTAAAACTAATTTTTCATTAATAGAATCAGGCGTTACTTTGCGGAAATCCATTATATAAAAGCTTTTAGAAAAATTTAAGCGGATATTTGCGAAGTAAATTTTTCTAAAAGCTTTAACTAATTTCTCAATTAACTGACACTGTGTAAGAAAAACTTTACCTCAGTCACAACTAGCGACATCTGGTGAGTGGAAGATTATTAGCCCTCATACGTCAACGACGTTTATGACTTTAACTCGTGCGTCTCGTTAACGCAACGAACTGAGCAAATTAAAAAACTTACGTTGATAATAACGTCATAGATTGTGAGCGATGGTCATGTCATACAATTTGAACTCTAAATAACCTAAAAAAGAGTTTATTTTCGAAATATTTATTTTAAGAATAGTACTTATGACGATATTGGTGGTTAATACTAGTTTGTTTGTATATTATACAACGATAGGAAGTTCGCTCTCGTTAATATTTTAATTGACGGTTTGTGACAAATTGCGCGGAAGGTCAGAAGTAAGTTATTTTGCGGCTTATCGTAAATGTTTAGAGTTTAGACTTTTTAGTTAATGTTTATAGTTACAGTGAAAATTTGTTTGTGTTAATGTAATTGTGTATATTTGCATAAAATAGGATTATTTAAGGTACAAAATTGAAAATGTCAGAACGTACTGTTAAGGATTATGGGGATAATTAAAGATCCAATACTTTGAACATAAAACGTGCTTTTTATTAACCTCAAAACAACAACATGGAGAGCCTATAACATCATATTGAACCTTCCTTCATAACACACAGTGATGACAACCGACACAGTCTTGCCATTAAAATACAATATTATATAAATCATTGTTAATTAACACCTCCCCCCAATGGTTTATATTAACAGAACTAACAAACTAAAAAATACACAATGCGAACTAAACTCTATTCCAATCCTAATTTATGTACAAAATAATTATGAGAGGTTTTATTTAATGGTTTCGTAAAAATATCAGCTATTTGTTGCTTTGTAGGTATATACATAACACAAATTTCCTTACATTCTATTTTATGTTTAATAAAGTTGTATTTTATATCCACATGTTTCATTCTTTTATGATCAGGATTACATACAGAAAATATTGTACTTTTATTGTCTTCATATATGGTAGTGGTATTACAACTAACGTCTAACTCATTTAATAATTTCCTAATCCAACAAGCCTCCAGAGCGGCTTCATTGAGGGAGTATAACTCTGCCTCAGTAGTGCTTAAAGCTACAGTGCTCTGCTTTTTGCAATGCCAAATAACACTGTTATCAAATACTTTAAATACATAACCAGTTATAGATTTCCTATCTTTATCTACAGCAAAACTAGCATCAGCATATCACACTAGTGGTTCGGAATTACAATTCTTATTATATTTTAAATTATAATTAATGGTACCCTTAATGTATCTTAAAAACCTTTTCAAGCATTGCCATAACCTTTCTGATGGTCTAGATTGATATCTTGCTAAATATGAAACAGCAGCAATCAAGATTTGTGTGCTGCTGTTTCATATATATTAATATACAAAAAAAAAAGATTTTAAATACTCTTTATGGTTAATATACAAACGGTCACTAACTTGAATAATATTAATACCCAGATATTTTAATTTTTAAATCCTAGATCTTTCATCTTAAATTCTGTGCTTAAAATTTCCTCGAATTGTCCTCACCTAAAATTAATAAATCATCCACATACAACAAAATGTAAATACCATCCTTAAAATATAAACAATAATCACTTTCTGCGCTTTGAAACCCTTTACTTTTCATAAAATCATAAAATTTATTGTACCAATTTTTTGAAGATTTTTTAAGACCGTAAAGTGATTTTTTTCAATTTCATGACATAATTTGTATTTATATTTACACTAGGTGGGGGCTTTAAGTATACAACATCATCAATTTCACCATGAAGGAAAGCACCTTTAACATCCATTTGATGAATTAAATAGTTCCTTTGAACTTTTCAATTTGAAAAAATTTCAAAACGGGAGAATAAATTTCGGTAAAACTACCTTCCTGTTGAAACCCCTTTGCAACTAATCTAGTTTTATATACATTACCCACCTTTTTTGTAAAAATCCATTTACAATCAATTAACTTAGCATCGTTTGATCTTTCTACAACTTCCCAAGTCTTCTTATCCTCTAAAGATTTAATTTCTTCATTTACCGCTTCATACCACCTATCTTTATCGTCATAAGAATCTATATCATTATACTTTTCTGGGACATTACCATTAGAACAAGATAAAAATGATGCCATTAATATATCACCTAAATCTGAATCATCAGTGATAAAATCTTGTAAATTTTATCACTGATGATTCAGATTTAGGTTTTGGTTTAGTTTTCTTTGTTTTCTCCCTAGAATTAACATTATCTGTATCCCTTCCTTCAGGTTGTAATGACTCTAAATTATTATCAGAAAGTGATTTCCTATATTTACGCGAACACTACACATTTAAATGAAACTAATTTTACGGATTTTATCGCGTATATTAACTTATTTTACATTCCCGACGTTTCAAGCACTTTACAGCACCCATGGTCACGGGGGGGACTGAGGTGTATGACGTCCCAATGTCATAGTTAACTAATCTGGAGGTAGCCGTGGTTAACTATGACATTGGGACGTCATACACCTCAGTCCCCCCCGTGACCATGGGTGCTGTAAAGTGCTTGAAACGTCGGGAATGTAAAATAAGTTAATATACGCGATAAAATCCGTAAAATTAGTTTCATTTAAATTATTATCAGAAGTCAAAATTTTCTCAGTACCATGGGTTTGGGTTTTATCAGAAATTAAAGGGGTTTTGGTTTTCTCAGGACTACTACCATCATCCTTCTCCTTCCTATCCGAGATAGACTCCACGTCAATACTAAT